TGGATCCTATTTATCATACTTATTAAAAATGATAAGATTTCTAATGAACAACACATGTAGGCCATCTTTGGATTCTGCATGTTTATAATATAAAACATGCATAATGTAAGGCCAAATCTAAGAAATATGAGATGCATTCACCCGATTTCGTTTAACGTGATGAAGGACTGGTAGAAGAAGAATTTTCCCACAATCCTATGATTTGAGCTGACGTTTCCATTGAATTTCGCATAGCCTTGTTTTCCCAAAAGTTGTTCTCATCCCGACTGGAGTAGATTGCAGTTTCGACCTCGCATCGCTCTTATCAACACCCTCAGCGGGAGTCGAACCGCGACAGTGCGGGATGGGAGCTTGACATGCTAACAACTCGGCTACACTGCCACGAGCGACTTTTGGGTCACAGGGCAAATGAGAATTTTCAAGAAGGGCCAGGTCTTTTTTGCCATATCATATTCTTTTGGTGGAATTGTCGATGAAGCAAGCGTATATCTGCTATAGCATATTCTTATACACAGATCTCTCTGAATGAAACTAGCTAAAGCTTGAATTTAGAAGATACCTCCTAAAAATGATGTTTAAAATAAAAGTTTAAGTGCTAAGGGGCTAATAATAATATGATATTATAATAATGAGTGTATTAAAAATTTGTTCACACTTCAGGGGCGATTCGATTTCAACATATTCATGTGGCTCATAGTAAAATTGATTAACATTTTAAATTATATGTATAGGGATGATTACAAGGACTCTCCAAAGACATATTATTCTCAGGGTTCTCGCGCATCCAATCATTTGTTAAAATGAGTCCGGAACAGCAAGCAAGCTATGATAATAAATCTCGCTAGGGACTTCCTTTTAATCTACTTCTGGGCATACATTTTACCTATGGAACTTCACTTTACGTACATAACAATCATGTGACTTTTCTATTCTAAATATGGATACATTTGTTAGACTGCTTCTTGCGCATATAATCGAAATAATCATCACACTGTGGAAGAATACAAGTCTAATCCATTAGGATTCTGGCCTCGTAACTGACCAGAAAAATTAGCTTGATTGATGGCAACCATTCACCGATCTACGCCTTGATCATCAAAAGCAAATCGAAACACAAAGGCACATTAAAATGCATGTATATAATATAAAACATGCATAGTGTAAGGTCAAATATAAGAAATCACAGATCTAACATGAAGATATAAAAACTAATGTTTCCCATAGATATATAATTAAGTGTGTTATCAAATAAATTATTTGTTTCTTGTTGACTCTAAAAATGCTGCATACCGATGGCAATTATTCTGTTTTCCCACAGGGTAAAGGCTTTAAAAATTGGCAAATTAAAATTTTATTATGTCATTCTAAATGGATTTATCAAGTAATGAATCCATTTATATAAGCTGAATGTCTGGGAATCACTCCCAATGATTGCATTTATTTCATCGGTTGCAAAAACATTGATATACATTTTGCATTTTTAATTTAAATTCACTAATTCAAGTTTATTGGGATGTAATTTCAATTGTATCCTATTCTCACAAAAGCAATTTTTATCCATTTTGGTTTTATATCATATGATAAATATAAAAGAGTTTATTACTATTTTTAATTTATTAGTGTGTGAAGTTTGGCAGGCTATTTACAAGTAAATATAGTAACTTCCTTATTGTGGCATAAGGTTTTCAAGAAGTAGGACCCCAAATAATCTTCATGTATAAAGGTTAAATTTGTTGCTGAACCTATCCTGAATGCAAAGTTCATTTACTATTTGACACATTGTGATTCATTAAATGTGGACTAAAGGCTAGATAGTCCATAATAAATAGAAAATAATAGTAAATGTAATTAGTGAATGTGCTCCGATTTACGTCCATTAAGAAGAATCCCACTGGTTCATAGAGAATATAGTCTAAATGTGGATAATTTCTATATATGTTCGTATATATGTTCGTATATTTTCATACAAAGTGACATCTTCACACTGACAGGTTTAACTAAGACAATTCTTGTGCGTCCCATTTGGAAACGATGCTGCTCATCTCTCACATTTTGCATGATATTGCTGTTGTACTCTGCGCATACCCACAGGAAGTAGGGAGAAAACTGGCCGTAATCACTACACATGCTCCAGTTTATAGTGTCGGGTACGTCTGAGTTCTCTTGTATCGGCGAGTTGACTTATTTGTGAGGCCATTGCTGTGGTTGTCAAGTGGACTATTCGTTAGGAATGCTTGGAACAGCAGGAAACTCAACCGAGGCCTGCATTGGTAGGCACGGATGGATTGGAGGGCGAAAGTTTCCAATTAATAATGCAAAAGTCGCAGTTGGTAGTTCACAAGACAAGACTTCATTGGCGGTCACTGCAGGTTGGAAGCAACAAATGTCACTGGCTTGGCATTTGCCGCGGAGGCACGCCGAGCGATAAGCTTGCCTTGGCGTTTAACGAGTCTTCCGAATCTACCGAATTCACAGAGTTTAGGCTGAATGAATGGTTTGACGAGTCTGGCATTAGAAAAGGAGATCCGGCAAACTCACGAGTCCATTTACGCCGAGTCAAAGTGTCTGCACCGTAGCCGCGAGTGCTTGACCGATACTGATCTGGTCGGCCAATCTCGTGCTTGGACCCGAGCCGGTCAGGTTTCTAGCGCGCATGCACATGTTCAAATGCAGTACAGCCCTTTTGCATGTGTTGCTGCGGCGTCTTCTTGCAAAGTGGTTCAATCAAAACTGAAAGGATCCAGGACCTCTTTCTGCTGACTGTGCCTACATTGTTTGTGTGATTGTGTTTGCTTCTGTATGTGTTTGTGTCTGTGCCTGTATGCATGTATGCTGCGTAAATGCTGGTGTGTGAGTGTGCATTTGCAAATATGCATCTATGCCTGTACAAGTGGAAGTGTATGTCTGTGTATGTGTATGTGTAAATTAGCAAGCATGATCAACTGACATGTGTGAGTCAAGCTGAATGTGAACCAAAGTGAGGCGAAATGGAAATGACAAATTCGCATTCACCCGCTTGCACACAAAATGAAGCAATGTCCACAGACGGACTAAAGCCGAGCCTGGGAATATTCGCACACGAAGTTTCACACACGAAGAGTCCCTGCAACCTGCGTCCGGTTGCGGCTTCACGAAGGACTGAATCTCGATCACCTTCCGGCGGGGCATGCCCACCGAAATGGGCTGTTGGCCTGTCCTCGGCAGAACTGCTCACCTTCTAGTCGTTTGGTTGGTGACAACCAAC